GCCACTGCACTCCAGTCTGGGCGACGGAGTGAGACTCCAACTCAAAAAAAAAAAAAATACTAGCTGGGCATGGTAGCTCACGCCTATAGTTCCAGCTATTTGGAAGGGGGAGGCGGAAGGATCACGTGAGTCCAGCAGGTCGAGGCTGCAGTGGCCATAAGCATCCCACTGAACTCCAGTTGGAGTGAGACTCCAACTCAGAAAAATAAAATAAAATGACTTTTTAAAAAATGGGGAGAGTTGGGAGAGGAAAGCAAGCCTGGGGAGGGGACCATCCTGAGGTAACTCGAGCAAACTCTGGAAGGGACCCAAGCTTGTGGCTGTGCTCGATGGAGCCAGGAGGCCTTGCAGTCACAGGCCAGGCAAACAGTGGGGCTTATTCAGAAATGGAAAGAGAAAGGCAGGAGAAGCCAGGACGCAAAGGCCCTGAGGCTGGACTTGAGGCTGAAGAAAGCCAAGAAAACCAAGAGGGCTTCTGGGAAGAGGGAGAGGGGTTCAGAATTGCAGCCAGGAAGATTAATCAAGCAGCGATTGATCACGTGGATGCAGAGACACTAGACGCACGGAGATCCAGCCCACAGACGGGCGCGCTGTCACCCTCCATGGACACAGGAGGACAGTTTCAGGAAGAGAGGAGGGGTGAATCTGAGGGGTAAAGCCAGCGTGTGGTTACGCCTCAAGCAGCATGCCATGTGGTCTGCAGAGTGACTTTTGGGTGAAGCTGGTTTTTTTTCTTTTTTTTTAGTTGGAGTCTCACTCTGTCGCCCGGGCTGGAGTGTAGTGGCACGCTCACAGCCACCGCAGCCTCAACCTGCTGGGCTCAGGCGATCCTTCTGCCTCAGCCTTCCAAGAAGCTGGAAATACAGGCGTGCACCACCACGCCCAATTGATTTTTTGATTTACTGTAGAGATGAGGTCTCACCAAGTTGCCCAGGTTGGTCTCAAACCCCTGAGCTCAGGCAATCCTCTCAATCCTCTCACCTTGGCCTCCCAAAGTGCTGGGATTAGGCTTGAGCCATGGTGCCTGGCCTGAACCTAATTCTTAAGAACCAAGTCCTTATTTCCACTTTGAATGAGAGGACAGGGAGATAAGGATATGGATAGAGACAGAGACAGAGACAGAGATAGAGACAGAGATAGAGATTGAGAGATAAAGAAAGAAACAGATAAAGAGAATGAGATGAGAGAGAGAGAGAGAGAGAGAGAGAGAGAGAGAGAGAGAGATCAGTCGAACAACAGTATGAAAACTTTAAAAACATTTCAGAAAATGTTTGATTCTTTTCAGTCTGATGAAACCTGACCAACTGATTCTGGGGGGTGAGGCCGAAAAAGTTCTCAGGTGGTTCCAGTCTTATACACATAGCCAAGTACAAAGTAACTGGACTAGTCAGGGAAATACAGACGGCTTGGAGGGCGATGTTTGTTTAACTCGCTAAGGCCCGAGGCTGAAATAGGAAGTCAGACGGGTTTTAACCACAGATCACCAGCTCAATGGAGTGTGGCCACAAAGAACACTGACTCTGGGTTCAAACCCGCCCCCAAAAGCTCTCGCTGCAGCCACGAAATCCCGGTCTAACAGTGACGACGAGTGTCATGATGGTGATTACGGCCTGCCATGCCCACTGGACATCTGCACAGTCTTCTGTGGGTCGCAGAGCCAGGTAGGAGTCACCAACACCACTTTGGGGCGGCGGAAGCCAAGACCTGAGAGGCCATCTGACACACAGCCGGGTTAGAGCAGGACCGAAGGCGACATTTTTGAAGGTCCAGTCCTGGGCTGCAGACACCCTGCTGCCACCCCCCGAAGCCCAGCCACCCTCCTCCTGTCTTCCCTCTGCTCTCCCATACCCCCCTGAACCTCCCCCACCCCCGGCCCTGAATTATTTGTCCATGACCTGTAACGGGGGACGGGTGCTGCTTCCTTAGACTTTTTAGCCCATCGGGCCTCTTTGTTGACGTGCCAGTGGGCACTGAAGGATGAAGGCGTCGCCGGCCCAGACCCCCTGCTTGCTCTCTAGAAGCCGCCTGGGGTTCAAGAATTGAGGAACAATTTGCATGGGAATCCAAGTCCAGGCGCACCGCGGTGCGTGCTGTCTGAGGCCTAGTTACCTGACTCTCTCGGGGTAGAAGAGCGCCATGCTCCACACCAGCATGCCTCCCCAGTCGTGGCCAATGAACACTGCTTGAGAGAGGCCCTAGGGAAGGATGGAGAAGGCACCCCGTGTCGGCAGGCTTCTGGAAGGGGGTGCTCGACCTCTGAGACCCAAAAGCCTCCGACTCCGAGAGGCCCAACCCACAACCCGCTCCCATGACCCTCTACAGCAGCCACAAACGCCCAGCCTTTCAGCCGGAGACCCTCGGCACAACTAGCGAGCTTTGTGATCTTCTAAGGAGACCGAGGTCACTGGCCGTGCGTTCCCTCTCCCTCTACTTTCCTTCGAGTTAAGTGTGCCTTCTCTGCCCTTGCACCCCTGCTCGAGGCTCCAGCAGTTGACGCCCTTGAAGGCTTGTACCGTTTTTTTGATCACCTAGGCCCAAATGGAATTCCCCAAAGAGATCTGTCCGAACGAACCACTCACCAACTTATCCAGGAAGGTCACCATGTCCTAAGAAAGAAAACACACACACTGAGTCAGAAACCGCACCCACCAGCCTCAGCCTTTGCGAAGAGCTGAATGGTGGGCCTCCCGATTCCAGCTGAATTCCTCAGCCAGGGCCTTGGGAGGGGACTGTCTTTGGAGGCCCTTTAAAGAGGCGATTAAGGTAGAGTGGGGTCATGAGGGGGCCTCATCCCACAGGACTGGTGTCCTTAGAAGAGGTCAGGACACACGCAGACCCATGGGGAAGACCGTATGAGGATGTGAGGGGAAGATGGCCACTCACAAGCCAAGGAGAGAGGCCTCAGAGGAACCCACCCTGCTCACACCTTCATCTTGCGCTCTGGCCTCCCGAACGCTGAGAAAATAAATGCCTGTGCTGAAGCCTCCCAGCTGAGGTCCCAGCAACCAGGAAGATTCCAGACATGCACAATGAGCGCCTCACTCAGCATATGTTAGCACGCATCCATGGCTGGCTCACGGCCACTCCAGGAGAGAAACCCTGGCCTCTTCTCTGGGACTGGGGGGAGAACTACCCTGCGGAGCTTGCCCCCTGTGGCTGATGGAGAGCAGCGAGAGGCCTTCCCACCCCCAGGATGACTCGTTCCTGCCCTGCTCCCAACACAGACACTCCACACATCAGCACTTCGCGCCTCTGTACGGCGGAATGATACTCCTGGATACAGACAGATGACTTTCGGTCCACCCATGCATTGCTGAAGGGCACTGGTTGTCTCCCTATTTTGGCTATTAGCAGCAGTGCTGCTGTGAACGTCTCTGTCTGGGTTTTGTGGCCACATGCTCTCAATTCTCTTGGGTAAACACCCAGCCGTGGAGGTGTTAGTGATTTTTTATTTCGAGTTGGAGTCCCACTCTTGTCGCCCAGACTGGAATGCAGCGGCACGCTCACGGCCGCCGCAGCCTCGACCTGCCGGGCTCAGGCGATCCTTCCGCCTCAGCCTTCTAAGTAGCTGGAACTACAGACGCATGCCACCATGCCCAGCTAGTTTTGTGATTTATTGTAGAGACGAGGGCTCATCAAGTTCCCCAGGCTGGTCTCGAACCCCTGAGCTCAGGCATTCCTCTTGCCTTGGCCTCCCGAATTGCTGTGATGACAGGTTGAGCTACCAAGCCCGGCCTATGAGTGATTTTTTAAAGGTGGAACAGGAAGATAGGAGCACCACACTTTATTTTGTTTGTATTTTGGTAAAATAACTTTCTTCGGGAGAGGCGTTCTCTTAAGTGACCCACGAGACAGATTTCAACAGAAATAGGCAGGGGTCAGGTTGGCAGACAGCAGCAGCATGGGGCGGGGCCCCCAGGGTCACTGGTGAGACCTCGGCCAGACCCCAGGGGAGGCACTAGCAGGACCAGGAGCAGCAGAGTGGGAGCGGTGAGGACTGGGAAGTGGCGGAAGAAGGAGCAGCTCTGTCTGGACATGAAGCCTTTACCTGTGTTCTGCTTCTGAGATGCCAAAGCCGGCATGGGGGGCTGCGGGACACACAGGACGAGGGAGCACCCCCAAGACTGTGGCTCTGAGTGGAGGCGTTTTGTATGGTTAATGTCACCAGCAGCATTGCCAAGCCTGCACGGAAGCTGCTTCCTCCCCTGGCCACCAGCCTTTGCTTTTGCTGAAGGCACATCTGGGCCATGGTCTCTCCTCACCTCGGTCTCAGCATCCTCTGCCAGCTCTGAGACGAGGGGCCCTCATCCCGATGGTGACGATGCCTGCCTTAGAACAGGAACTCCATCCTAGTCATCAGTCCACCAGTGCACACACTAACTCCCTGGGTCTGGCCAAAGGTATCTTTGCCAAGATGGCATTTAAAAAAAATTTTCGGCTGGGCGCAGTGGCTCAAGACTATAATCCCAGCACTTTGGGAGGCTGAGGTGAGAGGATTGCCTGAGTCCGTGGGTTCGAGACCAGCCTGGGCAACATGGTGAGATCTTGTCTCTACAATACATTTTTAAAAATGTAGCTGGGCATGGTAGCATGTGCCTGTAGTTCTGGCTCCTTGGAAGGCTGAGGCAGAAAGGTCGCCAGAGCCCAGCAGGTCGAGGCTGTGGTGGCCGGGAGTGTACCACTGCACTCTAGCCTGGGTGACAGAGTGAGACTCTGACTCAAAAAAGAAAAAAAAATCTCAGGATGGAGAGGCGACGGAGTGGAGTATTGTAGGGTTCAAATCTGGTACCAGATGCTGACCTCAGGCAATTACTTTAAACTTCCCGTGATTTGGCTTCCTCTTCTGTCAGTTGCTTGGAGCAGGACCTGACATGCACTCAAGGCTTCATACATGTTGGCTATCATTGGAAGTCGCTCAACTTTTAGTAAGAATTTATACCCAAATGCCATGTAACGACCCTTCCCTAGGGTTTGAATGGACACCCAAGCGTCTAGCTTATATCAGTAGAACACCCAGGACAGAAAAGATGTTACAGCCATAACCCAAGATCTTGCTTACCTTACATAACACTTCCAGGCTATATTCTTCTATTTCTGCAATTAACAATAAGGGAAATAACAACAAAATTATGGACTTTGCAGCAACTTGGATGGATCTAGAGTCTATCACACTCAGTGATCTATCACAGAAACAAGGAATTTGAGTACCACATGCTCCCACTCATAAGTGGACCCTGGACATTTGCCATAATACTATAAGAAATAAATTGGCAGTAGTGGGTCACTGCCGAGGGCAGGGAGACACATAACATCAACAAGGGTACCTCATCTCAAAACAGGTGAAATGGGAACCAAAGGGAGGCCCAAACTTTACCCGTATGGTGACCACTTGTATACCTAATTCTGAATTGTCCCCACAACTTTAAAGTATTTTTTTTTAAGGAATGGACTGGGTGTGGTGGCTCAAGCCTGTAATTCCAGCACTTTGGGAGGCTGGGATTGTGAGGGGATTGCCTGAGCCCACAGGTTGAGGTGAGGGGATTGCCTGAGTTCACAGGTTCGAGACCAGCCGGGGCAACTTGGCGAGACCTCATCTTTACAATAAATGAAAAAATTAGCCAGGTGTGGTAGCATTCGCCTGTAGTTCCAGCTCCTTGGAAGGCTGAGGCCAAAGGATGGCCTGAGCCCAGCAGGTCAACGCGCTGAGGTGGCTGTGAGCATGCCACCGCGCTCCAGCCTGGGTGATGGAGCGAGACACTGACTCAAAAAAAAAAAAAAAGAATGAGAGATCCAAGTCACATAAATAAATAAATAAATAAATCCGATCCACATGATTTAAAATATACTAAGAAACCAAAAGGGTGCTTTTGTCAAAAAACAAAGACATAAAAATGTGTTCAACCCTTAGACTGCAGTAGTTCCAGGTGTGTATCTTGGCTTTTGTGGCCTGTACTTTTGGTGTCAGATTCGTGAAACCACAGCTAAGACCTGGAATTATTTATCAAACATTTGTCTTTAGTCTCACATCTTTAAACTTCAGTCTCCTTCGAAGTGCTCCCCACTCGACGCAAAACACCTATTAAGACACTTTTCCCACTGCTCAATCTTGATGCCTTTTAGCGCTTCTGCCATTTTTTGTTTCACCATTTCCACATCAGCAAAACGTTTTCCTCTGAGGAGTTTTTACCCAGGGATACAAAAAAGTCGCTCAGGGTGAGATCAGGTGAAGAGGGAAGGTGGGGCATGCCTCTTTGGGGTCAAAAACTGATGAGCACTCAGAGTGGGCTGGGCAGGCATACTGGTAAGTCATCCGTCATGAAATGGGCAAACTCACGGAAAGAACCTCCAAAAAAACCCAGATTGACTGAAGCCGAAAGTAGCCTCTCACCACGACGCTGGCTGGTTCACTGACGCCAATGGGTTCCTAGAACACTGACCTGGCGGGGGACGCCTGTGCCGCAAGGGGCCCGCCCTCCAAAAGATGACTGGGTCCCCCTTGTGTGACATTCCGAGGAGTTAGGTTCACACAGACAGAAGTGGAGTGGGGGTTGCCGGAGCTGGGGGAGGGAGGACTGGAGACTTATTCATCAACTGGTTATCAGTTAATGAGCACAGACTTCCGGTTTTGCAGAAGGGAAAGTGTTCTGGGGACGGACTATACATCCTATGTCCTGTGTCCCCCATGACCAGCAGGAAACTCCCTCGGGGCGCAGGCCTCTGGGCTTCCTGTCTTCACTCAGAGGGTGGTGGGGGGGCATCAGAGCACCAAAGTCCACAGACACGGGACACTGCAGGGAGGGAGGGATAAAGTCGCCCCCCTCGAGGGCTGCCTGCCGTGACCTGGGGCCAGGGAAAGCACTGTGCGGGGCGAAGGTGTGACCCACACGGGATGGCCGCAAGACAGCTCACCCACCGGGAGGAGCAGATGACTCCCCATAGCCTTTCATGTCCACAGCTAGAATCCGGTAGCCTGCGCGGGCCAGAGCGGGGATCTAGAAAACAAATAATCAGGCACATTCCTGCATGGTCTCAGCAGTCTTTGGCAGACACTCCCTCTTTGCTTCCCTCTATCCCTCCATTCCTGTAAGCGGCTCAAGACAAAAAGCTTCCTGGCACTCCCTGGAATCTTCACCATTGGGGTTGGAAGGAGCTCACCTGAATAGGGCCACCATGGATGGTGGTTGGGTTTGTACACTGCATAAACGCATCTAAGACAGCCCTAGCAAAGCCCTCGTGGATTTCTTTTTCTTTTTTTCTTTTTTGAGTTGGAGCCTCACTCTGTCGCCCAGAGTGGAGTGCAGTGGCACACTCACGGCCACCCTAGCGTCGACCTGCTGAGCTCTGGCGATCCTTCCATCTCAGCCTTCCGAGTAGCTGGAACTACAGGCACATGCCACCATACCTGGCTAATCTTTTTTATTTATGTATTATAGAGATGAGGTCTTGCCAAGTTGCCCAGGTTGGTCTTGAACCCACGGGCTCAGGCAATCCTCTCACCTCAGCTTCCCAAAGTGCTGGGATTATAGGCATGAGCCCACTGTGCCCAGCCACAGACAGTTTTAAAGATCATTCTAATTCAGCACTATGATTTTTTTTTTTTTTTTGAGTCAGAGTCTCACTCTGTCGCCCAGGCCGGAGTGCAGTGGGACGCTCACGGCCACTCCAATGTCGACCTGCTGGGTTCCTGCAATTCTTCTGCCTCAGCCTTCCAAGTAGCCGAACTACAGCCACACACTACCACACCTGGCTAATTTTTTTTAAAATTGCAGAGACGAGGTCTCGCCAAGTTGCCCGGGCTGGTCTCGAACCCTCAGGCTCAGAGTCTCCCAAAGTGCTGGGATGACAGGCTGAGCCACCAAGCCTGGCCCCCTTGTGGATTTCTATATTCATTGCAGAGATCTCCCAGCAGGTGACATTGGGTGTCTTGAAGAAGTCTGCCCTCTTCTAATCTGCAAAGGTTCCTCAGTGCGTAGCACAGCCCTGAGGTCTAGAATCACCTCCTTGCCCCAACCTGGTCATACCCGGAGACAATGCTCAGAGATGTCAGCTTCTTCACGACATTCCTGGCCCGGCCATGCCATCTAGATGACTGCCCCCCCATAACCTGAGCGGGGTGCACCTTCCCCAGCATTCCTTACCTGGTACCTCCAAGAATACCAGCTCTCGGGAAACCCATGGCAGAGGCACACGGCGGGGCCAGAGCCCAGTTCCACGAAATGCAGGCGGACCCCCGGCTGTGGAGGAGAGAAGGGAGAAGGGAGCGGCAAGACCACAGCATCAGGCCGAGGGAACCAGGTGCCTGTCTGCAGACGGCCCTGGGTCACTGCCAGACTGCGTGTGACGCAGCTTTCTCGCAAAAGACCCCCCTGTGAGAGAAAGGTGGCTGAGAAGAGACCCTGGCCTGACTGCACATCGAAACCGGCAGCTTACCTTGTAACACAAGAAGCCCGAAGAGAGGAGTACGGTGCCGGGAAATAAAGCAAAACAACTCTGCCTTCCCCTCTATAGACCCTCACACTGCCAGAAGTTATGGTGCTGTTCAGATGTGTTTCCAGGATTTTAAACAGGACGTTGATATTCATGCCAACATGCAGAATGCCAGGAGAATTTCCACAAAAGTTAATGGCTTTTCTTTTTTTAAGAGACAGGGTCTCCCTCCGTCACCCAGGCTGGCGTGCAGTGGCATGATCATAGCTCACTGCACCTCCACCTTCCAGGCTTAAGTGATCCTCCTGCCTCAGCCTCCTGTGTAGCTGAGATCACAGGCATGTGCCATCACACCTGGCTATTTTTCTGATTTTTTGTAGAGATGGACTCTTGTTATGTTGCCCAGGCTGGTCTCAAACTCTCGCCTCAAGCGATCCTCATGCCTTGGCCTCCCAAAGTGCTGGGATGTCAGGCGTGAGCCACTGTGCCTTGCCTCTGTTTACTTCTCAAATATGAAACTTGTTCAAGCTTTGCTATACTTGCTGTCTTTTGGGGGCTGAGAGCTGTCTCAAAAAATAAATAGACAAGTAGGTAGATTATATAGATGATAGATAGACAGATAGACATGATAGGATGGATGGATGGACAGAGAGATAAGACAGACAGACAGATAGGATGGATAGACAGACAGATGAACATGTGATAGAAAGGATGGATAGACAGATGATGGATGGATGATAAGTGGATAGATAGACAGATGATAGGATGGATGGATAGATGGATGGATAGATTCATGGATGGATAGAGCGCTAAGACAGACAGGATGGATGGATAGACTGATAAATAGATGACAGGATGGAGAGAGAGATGATAGATGGATCATAGGTGTATAGACAGATAGATGATAGGATGGATGGATAGGTTTCTGGATGGATAGAGAGAGAAGACAGACAGACAGGATGGATGGATAGACAGATAAATAGATGACAGGATAGGATGGATAGCTAGATGACAGATGGGTGATGGAGAGAGAGAGGGATAGAGAGTGAGAGAGACAGAGGAAGTGCAACTTCCCTTAGTGTTCAGCAAACCACGTCAGATGACCCGGTAGAGAACCCTCAGCTGACTGAGAACGTGGGCTTACCTTTATTGCCACGTACCCATGGCTCACGTCACTCGGGTTGCAGGGGCTTGGCCGTGGGGCTGGAGTACTGAGAAGCTGGAAGTGGGAAAGGTACAGTGAGGGGGACAGACTCTTCCATGAGAAGCCTCACAACATCCGGGGTCCTGGTGCTAGAGGGCACCCCCACCACCCCATCCTGGGCCCCACAGGGCACCGGCCAATCCATCGCCCCCTCCTGTGGGGCAGCTAGACTCCAGGCCATGCCTTCCTTCCAGCGCAGTGGCATCTGGCCAGCGGAATGCAGATGGAAGAGGACAGCCCGGCCACGTAACACCCTGCGGTCTCTTCTCCCCACCTTCTAGCTGGTGTCCCGTGTAACCTTACGTACCACCACGGGTGGAAGACGATGGTCCACCATCAGCCTGGGTTCCCAAATGACTGTGTGAAGTCAAGCCTGGCCATTGCCACCTCAACTTTACATAAGCAAGACGAAAACGGCTTGCTCTGAACCACTGGGAATTCAGATTTTAATCAGTACAATTTTCTGCGGCAGTTCCTCAGACGGCCACTCTGGCTCCTGGGGACACCAGGAGGAATGCAAAGCTCACGACCAGCCATTCCATCCTTGCCCACCTCCACTAAAAGGCTGCTTCTTCATGCAGGACAGAATCAAACTCTGCCTTGCTATTAGTTGACTTGGACTGCCATGACAGAATACAACATGCCGCTTCAACAATAGAAATTTATTTTCTCACTGTTCTGGAGACCAGAAGTTCAAGCTCAGGTTGTCAGCAGGGTTGGTTTCTCCTGAGGCCTCTCCTTGACTTGCTAATGGCCGTCTTCTCCCTATGTCCTCAGAGGTCCTTCCCCTGTGTCTGCATGTCTCTTGTGCCTCCCTGTATGTGTCCTAATCTCTGTTTTGTTTTGTTTTTTTAAGAGATAGGGTCTCATTCTGTCACCCAGGCTGGATGCAGTGGTGTGACCATAACTCACTGCAGTCTCAACCTCCTGGGCTCGGCAATCCTCCCACCTTAGCCTCCCCAGTAGCTGGGACTACAGGCACACGCCTCCACAGCCTGCTAATTTTTAAATCCTTCGTAGAGACAGGAGTCTCACTATGTTGCCCGAACTGATCTTGAACTCTCTGGCTTCAAGCAATCCTTCCACCTTGGCCTCTCAAAGCACTCGAATTACTGGGAACTCGAACCAAGGTGCCCAGCCCTAATCTCTTCCAAGGACACCAGTTAAACAGATGAGGGGCCACCTTCGTGACCTCATTTTAGCTCAATGCCCCTTATTCATATATAGTCACATGCTCAGGTACTAAGGGTTGGGATTTTAATAATTAAAGTTTGGGAAACACAATGCAGCCCAGAACAGCCTTCCATCTGCAGGTCCCTGTCCCGCCCTCTGGAGTCTTCGAGGGCTTAGGCCAACCCATCCCAGGAAACAGGGAAATTCCTGAACAACAAGAAGCTGACTTCTCTGACTTACTGGAATCAACTTCCCTGGGGCAGAAATGATAGAGAAGCAGACACTGAGCACCTGTAAGTGAACCCTTCCTCATGCCTGAGCCCTGTGGCCAGATATGCTGGGAACCCTACTGCTGGATGACATCTTTAGGCCTGAAGGCAGTGCCGGAGAAAGAGTGGGCTCTCCTCAGTGATTCAGTTTTCTGACCTCTAAAATGGGAAAGTAAACTATGGAATCTGCCTCCCTTTTAAATATGGAAGACCCTGCCTGGACGTCGCCACAAAGGGACACAGGAGATGAGTCACCCCACCTCTACCGTGTCTGGAGAAGACCAGGGTGGGGGTGGCAGGGAGGAACTCAGCCAAGGCCCAGGGCTCAGGGCTAGTGTCCCTCGCACCCCTCCTCTGATGTGTCCCTGGCTTCCTACATCCCACACCAGGGGATGCTCCTGTGCTTCCAGGAGTGGAGAGAGTGGAGGTTTCCTACTCTAATGATTTTCTCATGTGTTTGTGCAGTTTACAAAATCCATTCACGACTGAAGGAAACATGCTCTCCCTTGCTTAAAAAAAAGATGATATTTCTGTAGTAATGTAAACAGGTACAGCCACCATGGACAACAGGATAGGAGCTTCTTAAGAGTTAAAAAGAGAATTTCCAGGCCAGGCACTGTGGCGCATGCCTGTACTCCCTGCACTCTGGGAGGCTGAGACGAGAGGATGGCTTGAGGCCAGAAGTTTGGAGATCAACCTAGGCAACATGGCGAAACTTTGTCTCTGCAAAAATAAAAAAAATTAGCCAGGCACAATGGTGCACGCCTATAGTCCCAGCTAATCAGGAGGCTGAATGGGAGGATCGCCTGAGCCCAGGAGGTCGAGGCTGCAGTGAGCTGTGATGGTGCCACTGCACTCTAGCCTGGACAACAGGGTGAGACTCCAACTCAAAGAAAGAGAAAGAAAAGAAAAGAAAATTTCCACATGATCCAGCAATTCCACTTCTGGGAATATACCCCATAGAATTTAAAACAAGGACTCAAAGAGGTATTTGCACACCCGTGTTTGTAGAAGCATGACTCACAATAGCCAGAGAGTCAAAACAAGACAAGTGTCCATGGACGGGTGAAAGGATCAGCAGAAGGTGGCCTCTCCATGCAGTGAAGTATTATTCGGCCCTAAAAGGAAGGGAATTCTGACCCACGTTACAATATGGATAAACCTTGGGAACATTATGCCAAGTGAACTAAGCCAATCACAAAAGGGCAAATGCTGCGATTCCCCCTTACATGAGGTCCCCAGAGGAGTCAGATTCACAGAGACAGAGAGTAGAACAGGAAGTGCCAGGGGCTGCGGGACGAAGAGTGGGGAGTTTTGTTTAAGGGGTGGCAGAGTGTCCTTTTAGGATGATGAAAGGTGATGGCTGCTCAACAGCGTGAATGTTCTTAATGTTCCTGAGCTGTCCACTTAAAAAATGGTTCATATGGTAAATTGTATGTTGTATGTATTTTAAGACAGGGAAAAAAAAGGCAAGAGTTTTCACTTTTCCTTGTATCTTCCCCATCCCTCTGAGGAGAAGAGGCGGGGCACGGCTTACTTTCCCAGTTTTACAGGACAGACATCTGTGGCTCAGGCGTGATGAGAAGACAACCCGGCAAGGGAGACAGCACATAGGTACCCTGATCCCAAGTCCGATGTGCTTTCCTCTCTGTTGCCTGAGACCACGAGGTTTGCAGAACGCTGAATGAACTAAGCTTGGGCAAGACGCTTTAAGCTTGTGAAGTCACTAGATGTGGATTTTACTTGTCAAGGACAGAAATTAAGCCAACCCTATTATGGGCCGAATTGTATCCCCCCCAGTTCACATGCTGAAGCCTCAACCCCCAAGACTTCAGACGGCGACTGTGTCTGGAGACAGGGCGTTTAAAGAGGTGACGGAGGCAAACGAGCTCGTTAGGTGGGCCCTGACCCAGTGTGACCCGCGTCCTTAGAAGGAGAGGAGACCAGGACACAGAGACACCAGAGGCCTGCGGACACAGGGGAAAGATTACGTCAGGGCACAGGAGGGAGGCAGCCACCTGCACACCGAGGAGAAAGGGCCCAGGAGAAACAAACCCTGCTGGCACTTTGATCTTGGTCTTCCGGCCTCCAGAACGGTGAGAACGTAAATGTCTGCAAGAGAAGCCACCCAGTCGAGGCAGCCCGAGCAAACTACCCAGGTCCCTTTGCGGCCATGGCTATGCAGCCTGGGACGTACAGCCTGGGGCCTCTCTCCTGAGCTACAAGGACTGGGGCACCACACCTGTGGACGAGTGAGGTAGCGACCTTAGGCCAACCCAGAAGAACAAGGTGACTCAGGCCTGGCAGAACAGACGCATCCTCAGACAGCCCAGGGACATATGCAGGCTGTACCCTCTGCCTTAGAGAGGAACAGGTTTTACCTCAGAGGCTTCCCTCTGACTGTCAAGGGATGTGTGCAGGGTGGAACTAAGCAGTTAGCCTGAGAGCCTGGGCGGACCAGGTAGGGGCTCTGCTCCACAGAGTAAAAGTTCTCAATATCTATTTTTATTAAGTTGGGTTCTCACTCTGTTGCCCAGGATGAAATGCAGGGGTGTAATTATGGTTCCCTGCAGCCTCGACCTCCTGGACTCAGGCAATCTTTCTGCCTCAGTCTCCTGAGTAGTTGGGACTACAGGTGTGTGCCACCATGCCTGGCTAATTTTTTGATGTTCTGTAGAGACAAGGTCTCACTATGTTGCCCAGGCTGGTCTCAAACTCCTGAGCGCTCAAGCAATCCTCCTGCCTCGGCCTCCCACAGTGCTGGGATGACAGGTGTGAGCCACTGCGCCCGGTCAAGTTCTCAATATTGACTCTAAAACGCAAGGTCAGGTTGGTTTGGAACATCCCACCTGTGTCTTGGTTCCCGACTCTGGCACTGAGACTAGTATAAATGCTTGTTCTCAGAGCAGCGGTTTCCCTGTTTACTGACTGCAGAGAAAGAAACAAGACGGGCTTCAAGGACACTGTGCTGATGGTGTGATGGGTGAGGGACCCCACCAGAGGGGCCGGGGAGTCACACACGAAGCAATGAACTCCACAGACACTGGCTCACCACTCGCAACATTCTCTCCTGGGGCACACACCCCAGATAAGCAGCAGGAAGCCCAACTTGCTCAGAGGTCACATTACCTGCATCCCAGTCACTTGTTCCAGTTCTCTCAGGGCCGTGTCGGTGTCGTGGACGAGGATGGTGACCATCCCCAAGTCCCGGGCAGGCTTCAGATTAGCCCCGATGTCATCTAAGAAAACAACCTGAACCCGAAACAGCACAGACACCAGTGTCACATCGACCAAAGGAAAACTCGTGCACGAGGAAGAACACTGGAAACAAACTTATTAATCTACGAACAGGGGTTATGATATGGTGAGGAGATGAAAAATTCGTTTTCTTTCTTAACTGCCCACTCTTAAAACTAAAAGCATTTAATTACATATGCATACACAGAAACACATAGGTAAATATGTCCCCACCATGTACCTTCTGGTTTCAGCCAATTCCAAAACTGCAAAACTATTAAGAGCGTAGGAGTTCGAGACCAGCCTGGAAAACACAGCAAGACCTTGTCTGTACAAAAAAATCAGCTGGGTTTTGTGGCGCACGCCTGTAGTCCCAGCTGATGGGGAGGCTGAGACCGGAGGATCGCCTGAGCCCAGAAGGTAGAAGCTGTGGTGACTCTAGCATGCATGACAGAGGGAGACCCTGACTCAGAACAAAACAAAACAAAAGATTGAGAGCCTATATGCATCAGTCAAGATGACACTACATTCATCCGGGAAAATCAACAGGTTTAAAAAGACCAAAACAAAAAAAAAAGTTTCTGGAAAAGAACTGCAAAGAGAGCAGATAATAAAACAAATGATGCTGCTACAAGAGGTAAAAGAGTTGGTCCTGGAAAAGAAATAGACGTATCTATGAAATAGAAAAGAGTCTAGAAACAGACCTAAATACAAGTAGAAATTTCGTTTCTTTTACTTTTATTTTTATTTTGTAGAGACGGAGGTTTTGCTGTGTTGCCCAGGCCGATCTCAAAACTCCTGGGCTCAAGCGATCCTCCTTCCTCAGCCTCCCAAAGTGCTGGGATCACAGGTGTGAGCTACCGCACCTGGCCAGGATTTAGTTTCTAATAATGGTGCTGTATCCAGTCAGTGAGAAAGATTATTTGATAGTGTTGGTATGACTGGTTTACTGGTTGGGAGAAAAAATAAAGAAACCTTACTTCACATCTTGCCCCAAAATAGATTCTTAAAGGATCAAAGATTTAAACTTAAAGAGCAAGAAATAAGGAAAGAAGGAAAGGAAGGAGGGAGAGAGGAAGGGAAAGAAAAGAAAGTTCATTCCTAGAAGTTTCAGAAGAAAACACAGGTGCATTTTCTTACGATCTTGGATGAAGGCAGCCTAGAATTTCAAGCAGCGCCTCCAACCCAGAAACCGTAAGGGGGAAGCCTGACACATTTTTGGTCATGGGTAGATTCACAGCCCTGCTCTGATGGACTCCAGGTATCGAGAAGAGCAGAAGCTGGAGAGGTGGACCTAGAGGAGAAAGGAGGGGTCCCGGGATGGAACTCAGCAGGGATCCCAAAGACGAAGTCCAGGGTTGGTTCTGATCAGTTGATGGGGGAGGTGGGGCCAGCAAGGGAGGGTCAGAAGTATGAGGATAAGGAACTTGATCTCGGTCTAATCCCCTTTTAAAGAGGAAGAGTAAGCCGGTCTCGGTGGCTCAGCCTGTAATCCCGTGCCTTTGGGAGGCTGAGGTGAGTACATTGATTGAGCCCGCGGGTTCGAGACCCGCCTGGGCAGCGAGACCTCATCTCTACAATAAATAAAAAAATCAGCCGGGCGTGGTGGCGCATGCCTGTAATTCCGGCTACTCAGAAGGCTGAGGCGGAAGGATCGCCAGAACCCAGCAGGTGAGGCTGTGGTGGCCGGGAGTGGCCATTGCACTCCAGTCTGGGTGTCAGAGTGAGACTCGAACTCAAAAAAAAAAAAAGGATGAAGAGTAGGGAGACACCTGAGAGCAGTGCTTTAGGGAGACAGGTGAAGGGCAGGTGTCAGGGTACAGGCGTCTGGCAGGAGGCTGTAGCAATACTTGACTAGCCTTGTGGCCTTAAGAAAGTCTCCCAGAGTCTTCCTTCCCTCCTTCCCTCCCTCCCTCTCTTTCTCTCTTAGATAGGGTCTTCCTCTGTTGCCCAGGCTGCAAGGCAATGGCACAGTCACAGTTCACTGCAGGCTTGACCTCCTGGACGCAAGCCATCCTCCTGCCTCAGCCTTCCGAGTAGCTGGGACTACAAGTGCATGCCACCACACCTGGCTAAGTTTTTGCTTTTATTTAGAGACAGAGTCTTGCTATGTTGCCCCGGCTGACCTCTAACTCCTGGGCTCAGCCTCCCAAAGTGTGGGGATTATAGGTGTGCGCCATTGTGCCCGGCCCATTGTCTCTTCATAAGTAAACCGAGGCAGCTGGTATAACAGTTTTTGAGGATGCTTGTTGTGACCAAAGTCCCGTAAAGGCCACACAAAGGAGCCAGATACCCACCCCGGGAGAACTTTCTAGACTAAAGGATGGGTTAAAGTCCTTTAGGAGAAGCCCCGGTCTTGGAGAGGTGGACCTAGAACTGCCCTGCCAGACCCAGAACTTCCCCACCAGCTCACTCCTCAATTTTTCTCTGGAGCATTCTTCTCCCCTGAAAGCAAGCATCGCATACCTCGTGGGGGCTGGCCTTCAGGGTGTCGAGTAACAACTTGTAGATCTGAGGCTCAGGCTTGGCCATCCCGACGCGACACGACTCTATCAGAAAGTCAAAGTGTGGCGTCAGCTCACACATCAGTTGGGCCGGTCCGTCTCTCTCGGCGCGGTCGTCCAGCCAGTTGTTGCTGAGGATGGCGGTTGCAAAGCCTGAGAAAAAAGTCCCAGTGAATGGACCAGCTACAGAACGTTGCCCTGACGGGCTCCAGACGCCCAGCAGGGCCCCCCAGAATGGGCTGATGGGGTCCTGCCCACACCTCCACCTCCTTATGCCCAGCTTTCTTTTTTTTTTTTTT